ACGCGGGTTTGGGCTTAAGCGGGCCATGTTTACGCAATTTCGATGCTCAAAGATGCGGTTTTTGCCCGAAAACGGCAAGCTTAAACGGGTCCGCGTTAAGAAGGCAGAGGAGGGGGGGTCGGTGGAGCGCTTGAAGGCCAGCCTTGAAAAAGGAAAGTTATTATGTGGACTTGGCTCCAGCGCTCTATGCGTGGCCTGCTTTGGGTTGCGCTATTTGCATCGAATAAGGAAAAGCCATGTTTACGCTATATTCGTGCCCAAACGCTCTGCGGACGCGCTCGTGCATTCACCAATGCGACAAATGTATGCAAATATAGTGGCTGTGTCATTAAGAATACATAAACGCGCAGCGCCGCAGCGCGCTGCGAGCGCGCTGCGAGCGCGCTGCGAGCGCGCTGCAAGCGCGCTGCGGGCGCGCTACGAGCGCGCTGCGAGCGCGCTGCGCGGACGCGCTGTGGACGCGCTGCGGACGCGCTGCGGACGCGCTCGTGCATTCACCAATGCCATTCAAATTGAAATATGACTGCTCTTTTATACTATACTGGCTGTGTGCATGCTTCATAGTCTTGTTTAGCCCAGCGCGCTGCGAACGCGCTGCAGACGCGCTGCGGACGCGCAGCGGACGCGCTGCGGACGCGCTCGTGCATTCACCAATGCCATCAAACTATATATGACTGCTTTGCAAATACGGGCTGTTAAAAAATATTGGCTGTGTCCTTCAATACGTTACTATAGTGTCTTGTTTAGCCCAGCGCGCTGCGAACGCACTCGCGCATTTACCAATGCCATCAAACTATGACTGCTTTGCAAAAACGGACTGTAAAATACTGGCCGTGTCCTTCAATAAATATAGTCTTGTTGAGCCCAGCGCGCTGCGAACGCGCTGCAGGCGCGCTGCGGACGCGGTGGCCATCACCTAGATTTAGTTTCTCGAAAAGCAGCCCGTGAGGAGGTATGGCGCTAGCAGTGAAATAGTTGGCTATACAATTAATGGGCATCACGGCATCAACCAAACTTTTCTACCTTTGTGGAGGATATGTCTGGCTGTAGGTTGTGTTACATGTATACAAAAGCGCGTTTTTCTACCTTTGTGCCCTTTACATGCCTATGTCATTGTGTGCAACCCTGACCAACCCGCCCTGAAAATTTACAATGATGTTTCACTGTGTGATGTGTGGTTCTTCCCTGCGAAGAGGGCATTTCCGGAAACTGTTTATTTATTTTTATATCACTCAAAAATGAACCGCGTTTGGCAAAACTGCCCCGAACCAAGCAGTGAACGCATGCGGACTGGACGGTTGGCGGCGACTGCCGCAGCTCACACCTAGTAGGTCACCTAACCCATTTTCCGCCGATTCTCCTCTGCAGTGACTGGTTTCCAACTAGTGCACTCAAGGCGCATCAAAAATCTAGACATTTGCCGCTGCAATGCGGGCCATCGCTCGACATCTTGAGGTGCCTCCGGGTCTTCCTCAAGCTCAGACTCTTCCCCTTCGGGGTCGAGTGCATCATCACCCTCCCCTTCGCCTTCGACTTCATGCGTCACCACAGCCTCCTCAGGAGGAACTGACGAGGTGCCTGCTTCCCTCACTGCTGCTGCCGTCATCATTTCCTCAGCCACCGCAACATGATCGCGCGAAACGATTTGAGGAAACCAAGGGCGTGACGCACAATTGCTTCACCTCTTCAACAGGGCGGTCTTTCTCGATCTCTACACGGCATGCTTCCTGGGAAGCTCCAAATTTGACACAAAGTCCCTAGTATAGCACAAAGCGCAAGAAGCAGCTAGCGTTAAGAAAGAAATTCAGGGGGGGGCGGCTATTTCCATCGTCTTCTCCGCGGACACTTGTGGGTGTGGTTTCACCTGCAGGGCCCCAACCTACAAAAGCATACAAAACTCGAGATTGAAATTAATGGAAAAACTATGAAAAACCATTGTTCAAACATAAAACTTTTTTGTGACCCCCCACCACCATCACTTGGGCTTTCTTGTACTTGATGCCCCACGTCATGTCGCGATGGTAGCAGCACTTGTACGCTCTGTCGAGGCATGCCGCTGGACGTTTCATTGGTTTGCGTTTGGGCGCAGCCGCTGGCTTCCTGGACGACTGTCCAGAGGGGGAGGCCTTGGGTTTAGCAGCTCCCTTCGCCTTCCCTTTGGGTTTGTTGGGAAGAGTTGGTGCCTCCTCCTTCACCTCCGGCTCCTGATTGCTTTCTTCCTTGGGCTTCGGTTCTTGCTTTGGGGTCGCTTTCGTCTTGTTTTTGGGTTTCGGTTTCAGCCTGGGTAGCGACTTTGCGGCAGTGCCTTTAACGGGTTCTGGCGTTGGCTTTGGTTTCTCCCCGCCGTCATCGTCAGACAGAGCGGTTACATCAGCCGGCATGGTGAAAAGCTATGTTTCTTTTAGCTTTTGCTAACTTAGAGCTTGACGCTGCAACTTGCAATTACGACTAGTTGAAGCACTGCGTCCAACGAAAAAACCGTCAAGACTGCACAAAGAAACCAAAAGTCGAAGATCACACTGTGCTGGGATCAATCCTTTCACCAGCGACGTGCGGTGATAGCACAGTCAAAATTCGGCCTCCTACCACGGAGTGAGTTCAATCATCATCTCCATTATATGAACTGACAGAACCAACCAGCAATGATACCACATCTGAACAAACAAACATTAACAAACACTACAGTTGCTGTCCGGTTCTCACCAACTATAGCTGTCACTGTATCTTAAACGCCAAGAACTCAAGCGCCGCGCCGTTTCCTTTCAAAATGCTAAACAATTTGCACGGCTGCGCGCGCCGGCATGTTCAGACTGCAGGTCAGCCAAAACTTGGGTTTGAGAACCGTCAGCGTGGAATGCTCCAGGACCTCAGTGACAAGGAGCACAGGGGTTCAGCTGTATCGTTTTGATATCAACCCACCCACCAAACATGGTAAGTAGGTTAACGATAGCAAATCTCCACAAACACCATGCGTACTAGCTTCTTCCCAGATCGTTGAAGCCATCTCCGAGCTTGGCAATTTCGACAGCCCTCCCTCCAAGAAACACGCACCGAATATTGTGGGCCGGCAATCCATCAAATCGCCGGCCGCGGGCTTTGGCTCAAAAATGCATGACTTGGCCGCGGTCGTCACCGAATATCTGAAAGGCACTGGGCACAGCATGCCCTCATGGTCCTGCTAGTCTCGGTAAAACATCAACTTCTGACTTGCGTCAGTAATATTTATTTATTTGGTGACCCCCAAAATCCACATGTAACGCACATTGCGATCAGTGACCGTGTCCTGCATGACCTGTGTCAGCGTGTGGTACTCCAAGCTCAACTCAGTCACACCTCGCTTGGTCGCAAGCATGCAGCTACATTCAGCCAGGCAAGTGAGCTCCTTCTTTGCCCCAGGTTCTACCATGACAAACAGATCGAAGTCTCTTCAGGCCGTAGCACAGATTTGTCTTTCATGGACATGGCGAGCCCTGACAGCTGTCTTCATGGTTTGAACTAAAAGGATGAACTCGCAATCTGAAATGATACTTGGTCCAAGCCTATCGGCTTGTCAGTGAAGGTCCCGGTGCTGAAGCCGAACAGTTCGCACGGCCTCAATTCAACAGCATTGTCGCTGGGGTTCATCAGAAAAAGTTCCCAGCTGTCCGTTGCTACCACCTTGACCGTGTCGTGCTGCACGACCATGGCCGCAGCCTTTTGCCTGACAGGATGACATCAATCATGACGCAAACAGACCTGAAAGAAAGAGAACCTCCCGCTTTGCTCAAAGTTGCACTTTACTGGTCTCAAAGTCCTCCAGTGACAGAGAACGGGCTGTCTCACGCCGACGGTTAAAGTCAATCGGCGCGTTGGGCGGGGTGAACGTAGGACGGGCTAGGGTCCGAGGCCGGGTCACACGACCTCAGGGCAAGAAAATCTTGCCTTTGAGGCGTTCTTTAAAACAGACAGATTCAATTCTCAGGATCACACCTGCGTCGGTTCTTGTTACTGCTGCAGCAGCGCGACCTCCCATGGTCCCGGCAGCACGGATGAGCCCCATGTTGTTCGTCTTGTTCCATTCTGCGATCATCTTCTCAATCTCAACAGCTTTTGCCACAAGAGTCTCCTTTGCGGGGCCTGGCAACCTCAAAAGAAAAAAAGCAATGGGAGGTATCATGGTTTGACTGGGCTGGTTCTGAAACATCGTAGCTGACAAGTCAAGGGACGTGACTTTGTCGCCATCGACTGAAAGAACTTGCATGGTAGGCTGAGTTTCTGAAAAAGTTTCCTGCGGCCTTGTTGTCCCAGAAGTCCTCGAAAACCAACAGCAACATAAAGTACAACTGTGCTGGGTTTAGGGGCATGGTACCAGCACAAACCCTAAGCCCCCAACATCAATGATGTGTCCGAACATCCACTTTTGTACATACTCCATACAGGCGAGCTCGTCATCCAGTGGGTCGTGGTACGCAGCAAAGCGCCAATCCAGTGCGGAGTTGTCAGTCAATCTCTTCTTTTGTAACTGCCAGACTGCGCGCCCCCACTCATCGGCCCTGGAAAAAGAAAAACCAACCGATGAAACTGAGAGGGACGAGGATGCAATCACTCTGCAGCCACGCTGCTTGTTGATTGTCAAGTCCACCACACAAACACCCGGGACGTTCTCAAGACCGTTGACGATCTGCTCAAGAATCTCCATTGTTCCTTCAACACCACGTTGTTGAACCTTTATCCCAGCATGCAGCGCCAAATCCGCCAGCATTAAACATATGTTCTCATAACACGTGTTACACAACACACCATGAAACACATCTTCAAACAAGCAGCTCTTTGGGATGGGCTTGGGTGGCCATCTGGGTCTTCACACCACAGGTCACGCACTCTGGCCCGAGTGATCGGACCAAGAAACCCGGGCATCGCGCTGCTTTTGTTGAACCCAGACGCAGCCTTGTACAGCTTACTCATGGCGATGTAACCTCACAGACTCAGACGCAAATGCAACCGAGATTTCCCTATCCAATGCATGTGCAACACGCGCGCGTTCAACTTATTTTTTGAAGTTAACTTGGCTGACGGAGCGAGGGACATGGCTGGCTCCTCTTCCGCCTGTCTCCAGAGTGCCCAGAATCTTTGAAAGTCAGACTGGCTTCGCTGACTTCAAACGATCTCAGTAGTCCCAGCTGAAACATTCACAAAGGTCCACAACAAAGCGCACTCACATTGAAAGCTATCTCAATCGTCAAGTCTCCCACTCAGCTTATCCTCGATCAGCCGTCTGTGCTGGAGAAGAGCCATCATGTCCAGTGATGTGTGATATTGCGGGAGAAGGCAAAACAAAATGGCGTTGCTGTTGGAATTGCAAATGTTCTTCGCAAAATCCACTGCGTCATCAATTAGGACAGATCCTTGGGCTTGATTCACCCTCAACCCAACAACGCCAGAAGCCAAGAAATGGAAAGCGAAATGACAAAAAGCGTGCGTGGACCTCACATCAGTACCTGTCAGGTCAAGGTTCGTGGCGGCCACAGGCTGGCGTCCATCACCATCACCGTGTGCCTGGGCAACAGGACCCAGGAGCAAACCCAAAACTTAAGACATATGTTGGGAACACTGGCAAATTAAACAAGAGCGCGTCAAGTTGCACGTTGCTACCGCCACTCTCTTTGGTGAGAACCTCCAACAAATCCACCGGTCCCTCTCGAAGAGGCATCTCAATGTACCTGCGGCGGCTCTTCGTGAAGTTGTTGGCGAAGGTCTTGCCGCACTCAAACCTTGAGCCCAGGTACTTGAGGTCCAAGTTGCCCTGGTCACCAAACAGCGCGCGCAACCGCTGTCACACAAACTCACCAGCACCCTTGCCTGGCGGTTTGCATGCGCTCGCGCACGCTGCAAGAACTCGCGCATCTTGTCAAGGTCCCCTTCCACTTCGGAAGCAACTTTCAAGGAGCTCGCTGCCGCCAGCTGCACAGAAAGCCTGCGCTACTAGAATTCAGAATGGCTCCAAACGAAAACCAACATGTTACTGTTACATCATGTTACTTCACACAAAGGACACATGCTGGGCGAAGCACGCTTCAGCAGCGGCCACTTTCTTGTCCTCCGCCTTCCAACTCAATACAAGACCACGCTTCCAAACCAGAGCACGCAAAACGTCAAAAACAACCGCAACCTTGCCTGCTTTCTGAACTTTGCCAGTGAGGAGCGGAAGATTCCGATTCTATCCAACTCCACTGGAAGTGTAGATTGCTCAAGCAAGGCCAACAAGTCTGCGTCCCCATGCTTCAAGAGAAATCTCAGGCGGCGGACGGAGAACTTCTTGCAGTAGCGTAGGAACGTGAACAGAATCACAATGGTAAAAGGTGAAGGGATGGAAGCACAAACGGGTTGAGGTTGAGGGTCTATTCAAAGTCAACTGCGGGGCTGAATCAACCTCTCAAGCGCTTGTGCCCAGCTACGCTCGCTCGATGGTTGCTGCTTCTTCCGTGACAAAGTCAGAAGGAAAGGACTTATCAGTTAAGACTCTTCACCATCTTGGCGAGACGTTCCGTGATCGGTTCGTCGATCATCTGAAGGAGGGCCAGGGCCGCACCAGACTCAGCCCGACCGATTTGATAGGCCGTGGCCAGCTGCCCCACGTTTTCCCAATCCTGCCACAAGAAACGTCGACTGATAAACACAAAATTTGCAGCGGTGATGGCAACATCTGGAGCGAAGCAGCGAAGCAATCAAATTTTACAAATGACTCATGACTGCAAAGTAAAGCTGGGAGCCTTGTCGTGGCTCTCCCTCCCCATTTTTTCAGCAGCTTCATCTGCCACAGCAAGTTGAAGGCGTTTGGACGCCGCCTGATCGAGCTCGCGCAGGTTACACCTGAAGCTTCAAAAACTAGTTTGCAGGAACACGCGCGCAACCTTCAAGTCAATTGGGCCAGGAAACTGCGGTTGAATGCGATCAAATTGGACGGGTCGTCTGTCCCAGGAACTACAGTCACAGCACAATAGATAGTGCTGAAGCTCCTGATTCAAACAAACATGCACTGACACCAACACTCAACCTGCAACAGAAATCAGAGCAGGGAAACCCATGTTTGAGCTGAGGATCTCGATTGTTTGAACGGACACCAGGCCGTCCTCTGCAATTGAAACTCTCGTGGGTTGATTCACAGCTCTACTCGACACCCTTGATTCTGATTCTGTGTCTTTAAAACGCGCCCCTGCCTCTATCATTTGAGGGCAATCCCGCAAGAAGGCGAGGACAGTGTATATGCACAACACTCGCGTCCAGCCCTTCACTAGAAACATTGAGTGGGGAGGCGCCAACTTGCCATCCAAAGTGGTAGAATCATCTGAAAGATCTTCTATCTTCACGTAATGCTTTGGCTTAGCTCCATACTCCGGTCGCAATGCGCTGACAGAGATCCTCTCGACGCCACCAAGGTCTGAATTTGTTGCAAACCTTGATTCACATGAAATGAACAAACAGTCAAACTGATTCATTGTAGAACCCAGTGAGTAAGCACAGTGTGAGCTTTTCTTCAGCATTGCCAGGCTCCCCAGCCCGTTGAAGAGAATCAACTCCGCCAAATCTCGGATTGTGTCCTCTCATCCATGTTAAGTTGAACAACCGTCAACCCGTACAACAATCAAAAGCGCAATCAGCGGTCCGGTTCGACAAGGCCTTTGAGGCCACATTCTGCGTTCCATGGAAGCTGCCATGGGCGGGCCAAGATTGGCCCAGCAGCATTCAGGCTGGTCACCTGGGCATAGGACCTGAATCAAAGAGTCTTGGCAAACAGCCAAAACAACATCTTGAACAAGGCTCCGACAAATCTCCAACAGGAGGAAAGGTGAGGTCGATCCACTTCAGAAACCCAATGACTTGCTCCTTCGCTGACGCTGCGAAAAGGTGGTGTAAATAAAAACAGCTAGCTGAGAGTTCATTCTCAAGAACCTGACACATGGGAACCTTGCTGCTATAGACGGCATCAAAGTAGCCATCCACCGAAGAATATTTCTCAAGGACCTTGTCCCTTAGCTCTATCCGTAACCACTGCCATGTACTGGCCTCATCACGCGAATGCCTTAAAGTTTAAAAGCGCGCGAGTACAACCAAGGGGCAACCAAGACCGGAATGCCTGGTGAGCTGGTTTGTCATGCTCGATGGCAAGCGGTTCTTCCTTGACCCTCTTCTTTGCAGCAGCCTTGGCGCCTTCACCTGATTTCCGCTTTCCGCCCATCTTCTTAAACCTTGAACCACGGAAGCCCCTGAATGCAAAGCGGACACATCTGAATCAAAAGGGCGACAGCTGGTAAAGAATTACTTAGTTTGCAAACATGACGTGGGCGGCAACTTGGACTTTCCACCCTCAGCACCACAGAGGTTCCTGGCTCAAAAGCAGTGGATGAAGTCAAATCCACTTGCCACCAGTCAGGAATTACCAATCGTTGCGCAGCCATCCGCAAGGCGAATTTGAAAGTCACAGGTCTGCGAAGACCTGGCGCGCTGACAGAGTGACGCCACAGTCTCAACACTGATGGGATGCTTCGAGCAAACCGTGGGGGAAGACCAACCTCCCAGAAAATCATCATTTCACTCAATATGGACCATGTCGGACCTGCATCATTCTGTAATCTTCTTTCAACTCTCGTGAATATCACGAACTTTAGAAAATTTAAAACTGAGGCCTATTAACTTTCCCTATAATAGTAAGTTCCCTCCAAAGTTCACGGCTTTGGTTTGGCGCGGGGTCTCATCGGACGGGTTGGGTTTTGTGCGGGATCCCATCGAACAACTTTGGTCTTGTGCGGGATCTCATCGGATGGGCTGGGTTTTGTGCGGGATCCCATCGAACAACTTTGGTTTTGTGCGGGATCTCATCGGATGGGCTGGGTTTTGTGCGGGATCCCATCGAACAACTTTGGTTTTGCGCGGGATCTCATCGGACGGGCTGGGTTTCGTGCAGGGACCCATCGACTGGCGACACTATTTTGCGATGGCGGTTGTCAACATTCATCCCAAACAGCAGATTGAAAATATGGGCGCGATTACATTTTTGACCCAGGGTGACCCCCTAAATGTCCACGCCGCACCCAAATTTTTAGAGTTTTTTGGACAAACAGGTTCAAAAATATGAAAAGCCAACACAAACCAAGGGTTCATCGTTGCCCCTCACAACAAATCTATCGAGAGACAGGTGGCTGTTTAGGACTGTGGTCAATGACCTTCATCCCAAAGACTTGGCCGTAGCCCATTGTCCGTTCAACTTGGGAATCATTCAAACATACACTCAACAATCCAGCGCCAAACCATTCATTTCGCGCTTGGCGCCAATGACCCCAAGCGCAAACAAACGGCTTGCAGCGGACGTACTTTTTGTGCAGCGCAGTGCACTGAAGTCAGGATGGTTTGAGATGATGGCTCGGATGTTTCTGCCATCGGGAGGCGCTCGCTGACAGCTAGCTCTAAAACTTCCAGCAGTATAAATTTTCTATCTTCACACTTTCTTGTGTGGCTGTTTCATGCGTAGCACTCAAGAAGCGGAAAGAACAGCGTCGGTCACGGTGCTCAAAGCTTCTTCCCAGGGCACTCCTTCCCCCACAAATTCACAGCTGCCCGGTAAATTGGGACTTGCGTCCGCTTCCGCTTGTAGTTTGCCAGATCTCGGCCGGACAGCCTATCCCGCTGCAAAGAAACGATGTTTGGCGCCTTGCATGGCAAACGCAACTGGTTCAATGCAAGCCAACCCGGCAAACGACAAATCACCACCTGGAACTCTACCATTAAAAAATAGGAACCATATACACAAAGATCAACACAAGACAAACTCTTAGTGGAGCAACCGCGTTCACCGGAATCTGTCGCAGCTTTGCGGCGGGAACAAACCGCATCGGCTCCACAAAAACATCACTGCTTCCCGGCCCAACTGAAGGACCCGGCGCAAAAGCCACGCGATCGATCTCCAGCGCTGGGTTTCGGAGCAGGCTGCGTTTGGCCAACTGCTCGATGTGATCGGCCGCTCTGGCCATATTGAAAGGCTGCTCTCCTAAACGGCAGTCACGGCACATTGCAAGGGATGAAGCCACGCAAGGGGACACCCCTCAACTGGATTGGCTGGAAGGTTTTTCAACCAATGACTCGACTCTAACGCTGAGTTTATCTTGACCAGGCTGGGGCCTGGCCCAACTAAGTTCAAGCAAAACTTACTGCCAAAAGTCCATGTCGCAGTCGCAACAAGAAACGCTTGACCAAGCCCATGCTTGAGGAAGCCAGCTGGGGGGTTGCTGGAACCGTTTTTCATGTCTGGCTGAATGTCAAACCATGTGAAAATTGCAACCCAACAAATCTTAACGCGCGGTTCGAAAAATAAGTCTAAGCTTCTCATCAGTCGAGCGTACTTCATCCGCTGGTCGTTCAACTTGGGATCTTCAGCACGGTCGTCGCCAGCAACTGACAGTGGGGCAAAACTCTTCAGTCGAACCATATTTAGTAGTAGGTGATCAACCACGTTTGGTAAGAGCCAAAAACCAAAGTCTAGTCTATAAAGTTCTATAGTCTATAAACCACATTTCTCGGCCAGGGGGCTATTTGGCATCTCCCCGCAATCCGCAATCCGGCGGCAAACGCAGGCTGGCAAGAACCGCAACGCAGGTTGCCACGAGTCGTCTGACATCCACTGCTTGCTCCTGGGCGCATCGACACAGTGCAAAATCTGGGCTCGAGGCTACAAAAACCAGAACAAAGAGTTCAACCTAGGCCCTAGGCCACAAAAAGTGTAGACAATAACACAACACGCGGCGATGCTTAGAACAAGGGTCCGCATAATGACATCGTCCCCACTCGGCTCAACATTGAGATAGCTCCAAAAGTCTGACTTGATCTGTGCTGGGTCCAGACCTGTCAAAAGAGGGCGTTAATTGAAAAACCATTCCTGGCATTCTCTGGCCCTCCCATGTAGCATGGAACCATGAATACAGTAAATTGATTCCAAGATTTTCCCGCTTGGACACCCCACCCTAACAGGTTCGCTCGGCGATCGAAAGAGAACACGTGTGGAGCATGTGGTCCAGTTATCCCAGACAGGTGGGCATCCTGGCAACCCAGGTGAAGATAGGTTTTCCTGCGTGGCCAAACTGCAAAACTGCATGTAACGTAAAGGTAGAAGAAAAAATACTTGAGCGGGCAACATTTCTGGGGAACCTCTTGTACCCTTGAGACTCCGCAATTACTACTTCAGCATCTGCATTCCTCTCATTAGACCAGTGTTGCTGTGGGTATGTAACTAACATAATGTGACTGTTGGCCTTGTTTTTATTGAGCTATTCGTTTACCCTATTGAACAGAAACGAAAAGAAACATTAAACCTACTAATAATACGGTTTCAAGGATCCAGTCTCGAACCTGGGATATGTTGTACACGAAGCTGCGCGTCTCGTAGGGCCTAGTCCCTGGGAAAGAATTGTAGTGACGCAGTGATTCCGCGAACTCTTGTGGAGTGTGCAGTTCCTGCTGCCTTTCAAGCCAGGCAGACAGGCTCGAAAGGTATTGGTCGATGTCTTCATGCGAGTGTCCGCTTTCCAAGAACCTCATTTCGAATCTACGGCCATCTGCAAAAGCTGTTGTTTTTTGTTTGCCGACAAGAGTTGTCGGATTGCATCACAATTTCCATGTCTCTAATGTCGACGTCCTGCGCGCACAAGTGGAGTGTATGAGCGCAAAGCTCAACACTGAGGCAAGAGTCTTTCTTCGTGAAGGGCTCTGAAAGCCCCACAACGGTCACGTGACCGTGTGCCACCACTGCGGTCGCCGACAATGTCGGGCGGTTCTTTGGTCGCCATAAATCTGCTCCTGGGGTATCGATATTTGCTTTCGTCCATAGCATCTGTGATCATTGTCAAAGTCCCCCCGGCAACTTTGAGACGAGATAAACTCCGGGACCTCCAGTATAAGGTCCGGTCTGAATACTGCCGAGCAAGATGAGACATATACTCTTTCATTTGTAAGTCTTTCGCTCGGCGGTTGGTAGAAAGTCGGCGGAGAATCGCCTTGCGCTTGATGCAGGTCGTGCATGTGGCATGTCGTGAAGCTGCTCTGATTGCCAAATGTGGGAAATGCTTGCCCCGCACAGATAAGAATAGCTTGAGACTTACTCGCGCACCAGGGTTCTTCGCGTGGAACATGTCGAGGTATTCAGAAAATGTCCCTGGCGGAAGTAGGCGGCAAACTGTGGCGCTGGCACCAACATTTGGTTCAACGCCTGGTCCTTTCTCACGGCGTTGCTTCCGAGGTCGTTTTCCACGGTTCCGCCGGAACCGGAAGAGCGTGGGCAACTTTGAGTACTCAGGGTCCTTGGCGCTCTCAATAGATGTTTCAGGCATCGGTTCGCTCAAGGTCTCGTAAGCACCCTCCAAAAATTCTGTGACCAAAGCTCTCTTCCTGTCAGATGTGCTATTTGTTCCATCACCAGCACGTGGCCTACACCTCCCATCCAGGGGCGGTG